TTCTTCACATGCAAGGTCCATCCTACCTGCCACCGGAGATGGCGGGTCGACGACGCATACATGGCATTCGCCATCATTCCCCTGGTGGCCCGGACGGCGACGATTTCTACCTCTTTCAAGCTCAACCCTGACCAGCTCACGACGCCCGTGACGATGGAGGAGGCCGAGATGGCGAATATGAGCGTGGAAGACCTGACGGCGGACCGGATATTGTCCCGACAGCTGCTCTTGCCCGCGCGCATTTTCTATGCTTTATTGTGAGCATCCCCTTGTATATGGATGGTTCGGACTTGGGAAGAATGACGGGGGCTAACTTGGATATAGCTTGTGGTGTCTTAAGCTCTGCCTGCTTTCCTTCTACACACGATTCGTGGACCCTCTGGAATGGGGGAAGAAGGTCATCACGACCTTGAGATGGGTGATTTGTCTCACATTCATCGCCGTCATCATCTCTACAGTGACAGAATGTCACCCTCTCCAATTGTGAGTCTTGCCAATCCTCGGTGGTCCTTCCAGAGTGGAATCGTTGCTAACAAAAATAAAACAGAGCCTGGAAGTTGACTTCCGCGGCAGACCGTAAGTTGCCAGATGGAACCACTCGATGGGCGACGAACCTGTAACTAACCGTCTACCCAGGCCCTCAATGCAGTCGAGCGCTGGTGAACCTGCTCGTAATGGTGAGACTCCAAACTCGAAGCTTGACTTTTCTCCGTGTACATTCTAACAATGTGATGCTCTATAGGCTGTTTTCAACATCATAACCGACGTCGCCCTCATTATCCTTCCCTTTCCTATGCTCCGCAACGTAAGACTGGATCGAAAATCGTATGTCACACTCCTTATCGATGCTCGTGGAGCCCTGAGATAGCTGACACAATTTCCTACAGGAAAATTCAGCTTTCCTTCCTTTTCGGCGTCGGCTTCGTCGTCGTTGTCATCACCATCCTGCGCATCCCTCTCATTCTTATCAACTCCGTCTCACAACAATCACGCTCATTGGTACGTCATCATCCACATGAGCCGCATCCTTTTGATGGGATCTAACATTCTCAAATAGTGGGCATCCATCGAAACTCTCTGCGCATGCATAGTGGCCAACACGGCCTTCTTCTACACCCTGGTCAAGGACCTCCAGGGCCGGCACAGCCATTCCAAAAGCAGCTCCAACCACGTTGTGGGCGGCAACTTTTATCTACAGAGCCTGCCATCGTCATCAGGGTACCCCGATGGCTCTGAACGTCCGAAGACGGCGGACGAAGGCGGCAGCCGGCGGACACTACAACCAATAGTGTAGCTCCCTTGAGAGCGTATCAAAGAAAAGGGCACCTAATTCAAAATCCTGTATATATTTGCGTCTTAGCCGACAGCGGCCCTACGGTACAAAAACTCAAAATAAGTAAAAATTGTAAAAATTCATCACTTTCGTCCGATCTGTCTCGATGTCCTGGGGGAGCTTGCCTGAAGCAGTGGTGGCAAGACGACGATCAGAAGGAGGGGGGAACACGTGCATCATCGAGACCCCAGACTAGACTAATAGCACCGCTAGAGCATGTCGTAGCTTAGTCGTACGACACTAGATTGAAGCTAAAGAAATAGTTAGTTTGATGAGCAGATGGAGGATAATCTCTTTTACCTTTTCAGGGGGACGGGTGATGATATCCTGGGTAACACAGAGAGTAATAGTGGAGTATCGAAGGATGCTGGTGCTTTGGTGCGTCGATTTCATGGTCAGCAGCGTCTTGATTCATTCGCAAGCAGCTTGCCGGGGGGCCTGTGAGATTTTAGAGTCATCTGGTATTGCATTTTGGGTTGCAACTGCGACTCAGACCTGCCGATCTGTCTGTCCCAGCATGACACAGCAACGAGGCTGCCATGATCATGATCAGCATTCCTCAAGCAGCTGGCTTCCTGTCCCCGGAGCCTTCTTCCCTTGTCTAAGGGCCTTGCATTCCTCCTTATTTTGTAGCTTCTCATACCAAACCAGCGGTGCCAGCTTGCGATCTCGGCCCCGGTTGGATGTTCCCCGGTCGCCCCGGGCACCGCCACTTCTTTATAGCGGGGGGATATATGACCCGACATTCTGGTCAGCGCCACTGAAACGGCATATCAGGTCTGGATTCAGAGAGACTTCTTGATGGATTGGGTAATTGTTCAGCATTGAGGCCCATTGTGTGATTCTTCATGTGTTGATCAAGCAGCACCGACTTGGCTGTCAGCATGACATTGACTCAGCTATTCCAGACCCTGTATCTCTCCTGACAGCCATCCATCTCAGAGCAAAGAACCTCACTATGGAAGCGTAGCATAGATCCTCACGTAGCAGAGTAGCCCCCATCCACAAATATCGTCTGCCCCGTCACCGCCGCACTCGCCTCGCTCGCCAGGTACACGGCAACACCCGCAAAGTCCCCCGGCACCCCGTTCCTCCCCGTCATGGCCCGCCTCGCGTGCGCCTCGGCCTTCGCCTCTCCCCCTTGGCTGCCGAAGACGGTAGCCTCCGTCAGGGGCGTGCGGACGAGGCCCGGCGCGACGGCGTTGCAGAGCACCCCCTGGGCGGACCACGCCTCGGCCTGCGACCGCGTGAGCGACACGAGCCCGCCCTTGGACGCCCCGTAGGCGCCGCTGTTGCCGAAGGCGCGGAAGGCCTGCTGGCTGGCGATGTTGATGATGCGCCCTCCGGTGCCGCGGCGGGCCATGCGCGGGCCCCAGGCCTGGCCGAGGAGGAAGGGCGCGGTGAGGTTGGCCGCCATGGTCGCCTGCCAGTCGCCGAGGGTGAGCTGGTCCATGGGCGGGCGGTGGTTGACCCCCGCGGCGTTGACGAGGATGTCTGGGACGCCGCCTCCGAGCTGCTGCTCGATGGCTGCGGCGGTGGCGGCGAGGGCGTCGGGGTCGCTGACGTCGCAGGGGAAGGCGTGCGCTTGGATGCCGAGCTTCTTGAAGTCGTGGACGGTGTCGGAGAGTTGTTGCTGGCGGCGGGCGAGGAGGATGACCTGGGCGCCTGCTTGGCCTAGCGCTGAGGCCATCTCGCGCCCGATTCCTGAGCTACCGCCGGTGATGACGGCGGTCTTGCCCGCGAGACTGAATAGTGATTCCAGGAATTTCATCGAGGCCGCCATTGTTGTGGTTGTGACGTTTGCCCTTGTTGTTTGTGGTGGTTTTGAGGAGCGGGCTTGCGATAACGGAGGTGAGTGAGCCATAGCTTTGGCATTGCATTTGGCGGGGAGTCACTCTTCCATCCCTTCATACCGAAATAGGAGTATTGCAAGTAAATCTAAGACTACAGGCAGAACCTTGTTGATTTCCTTTTTCTCCGTATTCATAGATACATTTGGGCTAATATCCTCTGCTGCCTGCTTCATTTAGCCCTCCATAGTCGTCTTTCTCGTTCGGCAGCCTAAATTTTATGACATATCATATTCATACTCACACTCTCGCAAATCTGTCTCTTCTGCATTTTGTAGAACTTGTTCATTTCATGATCATGCTAACTTCGATTGCCGCTGGGTCACTGACCTTTCTAAATAGCCTCCCTGTGTCATAGGCAATAGTATTGATGGTATACCACATAATGACGACGATCACTTGGAGATAGTTCACGTATGCATATGCATGTCTCATCTGCCCAATCAGCATCCGTTCCTACCTGGTTACTGGTACCATGACCAACGGCTCGACAAATAGGCGTGCATTGTCGCAGTTCAGCTGTGGTGGCTGAGTGCATAAGGTCATGGCGCAGGGCACCTGGAGGTCAGATTATCTACTAGTTCAGCTACATAATGAAAACTATCCATAGAGAAAAGAAAATAATATGTAAAGGCTACATGAGGATAATGGTGGGTGACGATGATGCTGAACGGTTTATGCGAACTGCTTCGTTTCATTGGCTTGATTCAAGCCTCGCAAAGTGCCACAACTGAGGATATACGCCGAACAAGGAGGGATATAATTTGTGAAATTTGCAGATGCATATTAGTCTCAAGAGTTCTGGCTCAAATGCTGAGAGACCTTTGTGGCCGTTGGTTTGGAACAGCCTGGTTGCTCACGGGTATGGAATAATATGCAACATCTATACTTAAGCATTTTAACCTACCGGCCACTAAATAAGGCAGGATAGTAACAGAATATTCAAGCTTATCTTGAGGAGACCCCTGAGCTTTTAGGGTCCCAGCTGAATCGTAGCTGAAAAATTGCCTGCATAAGCTTGCATAGGCCAGCTGACCATCCCAGGCCAATAGCTGCATCACTCCCGATGACGACGAAAACCAGGCATTGGCGATACCCGGTTAGTCGAGCAGATCTGGGGCTTACCGGCACTCGTAAACGGTATTGCCAGAAGCTGAAGTACGGAGAGACCCGGTCATCCTATCGAACACCCATGTTGGTGCTCAAATGTGCAGTCTGCTCTTGGCTTCACCGTTCCCTCCACACCAATTATTCGCGGGAAACAAGAAAATACGCCTGCTGACTTATCGTAAGCTGCATCTTCACGATAGTTCAAGCCATAGGGCTGAGTCTAGACCATAGAGGCCGCCTATGGGGAAGCAGGAAGGGGGATAGGCTGGTGTGGTCATTGGTTGAGAAGTAAGGCAGCTGGATGCCGCACAGGTGCAGTAGCTGGGCTTATATGAATTAGGAGCCATCTTTCTTTTTCTTGTCTATCACATTGTGATGATGGCTGAATTCCATGAATGAGAAGGCAAAGAAACAGCCAGTGGCTGCCAGGCAGAGGCACTAGATGATCAGCTTACGGACTCCTGATCATGATTGCTCAGAGTTGAAGGAGGGCCTAGATTGACAAGGCAGACTGCGTTCAGCTACTCTATACGTATTGTTCGGAATGATCGTTGCCAGGAGATCCAGAGGAAAGTGGTATAAAAGGGGCGGGATTCTCTCTCTATAATGTGTTCTGGCACAAGACAACAATCCATAAAGAACACTTGCAAATATCACACAAGAATACCTTTCACTTTGAGCTTTAGTCATCTTTATAGATAGCCATCATGTCGATCGAGAAGTTGGACTCTGATAGCCAGGAGAATCGGGGCCCCCAGGCTCAGGAACTACCTGCCACCGAACAACAGCCCGTCTCTCACAGTCATGATTCTGTCCCAAAGCTGTCTTTCAAGCCTGCAGACATCAAAGATATCCCTACCTTTGCTCTTGGCGATACCCTCGATGTGACCCCAGTGTTCAATTATCTCAAACACTATGGCCACATCACCACTGCAACCCCAGCCCCCAGCCTCGATAAGCCCGTCGATGAGAACACCGTCTCGGGACTTCGCTCCTTCCAGGAGTTCCTGGGCCTTGAGGTTGATGGCGTGTTCGGCCAGCAGACTCGAACCGCCATGACGGCCTCCCGTTGCGGTCTCCCAGACCATGACTCCGTTGCCGTCGATGCTCCTTCTTTCTCTGCCGTTGGCCCCTGGGGTGATCGCGACATCCGATACACCTTCGGCCCCATGTCCCGCCACGCCACTGCTGATTCCTGCAAGGCTGCTATCCGGCGCGCGCTCGCCACCTGGGCTAACGCAGGTGTCGGCCTCACCTTCACCGAGGTTGCTGCTAACCAGAACCCGGAGGTCTATGTCGACTTCCGCAACGCCAACGACCCGGACTACAATATGGTCGGAGGCGTCCTTGCCCACGCCGACTACCCACCCGGATACTCCGTCGTGGTGAGGAACCTCCCTCTGCCTGTGCACTACGATGACCAGGAGCACGTGTGGGTGAACGGCGCGGTTGCCAATGGCTACGACATCGAGACCGTCGCCCTCCACGAGTTTGGCCACATCCTCGGCCTCGCGCATTCCAACGTCGCGGGCGCGGTCATGTTCCCCAGCGTCAGCTCCAACTTCACCCTCCGCAACCTTTCCCAGGATGACCGTCTGGGCATCCGAAACCTCTACCCCAACTGGCGCAGCATCGGAGGTATATTCACCGGTAAGAATTATACTCACCCACCCCCACCCCCAACGAGAGAAAGGACATTCACTAACAGACCAACCCGGCATCAGGCACCCCGGCCGTCGTATCCTGGGCCCCAGGCCGAACAGACGTCTTCGTCCGCGGCACCGACAACGCCGTCTACCACAAGTGGCAGAACGGCGGCGGGACCGGCTTCCTCCCGGCCGGCAACTTCGAGAACCTCGGCGGCACAATCTTCAGCAACATCTCCGCCGTCTCCTGGGGTCCCAACCGCATCGACCTCTTCGCCCTCGGCACTAACAACGCCTGCTGGCACCGCTGGTGGGACGGCGCCGCCTGGCGCGGGTGGGAGAGCCTGGGCGGGCTCTTCGTGGGCGACATCTCCGCCGTGTCGTGGGGACCCAACCGCATCGACCTCTTCGGCCGCGGGATGGATAACGCGGTATACCACAAGGCGTGGGACGGCTCCGCCTGGCGCGGGTGGACGTTCCTCGGTGGTAAGGTCGTCGGCTCGCCCGCGGCCGTGTGCTGGGGGCCCAACCGCATCGACTGCTTCGTCCGCGGGCTGGGAAACGGCGTGCACCAGAAGACGTGGAATGGCAGCGCGTGGCTCCCCTCCGTGACGGGCTGGACGGCCCTGGGTGGGACGGTCATGGACGACGTCACTGTCGTGTCCCGCCGGGTGAACCACCTCGACTTGATTGTCCGCGGGACGGGCAACGGTGTGCACCAGAAGACGTGGAACGGGAGCGCCTGGCTGCCCTCGGCCACGGGCTGGACGGCTCTGGGCGGCACAGTCGTGTCCCGCCCCGCGGCTGTGGCCTGGGGCGCGGATCGGCTGACGCTGGCTGCGCAGAACGAGAACAACGCGGTGGCCGTGAAGGAGTGGAATGGTTCGGCTTGGAAGGACTGGACCTCGATTGGGGGCGTGGTCACGGAGTCGCCTGTCCTCGATCCGCGGGGCGGCGAGCGGACCGCGGTCTATGTCCGCGGCACCAACGCTGCGCTGTTCTCGTATGACTAAGTGGAATCATTGTCGTTTGCTTTGCTAGTGAGATGGTTAGGGGAATCTCCTAGGAGGTTTGCTCGAGGATAGATATAGCAGGGTGTTTTTGCCTTGATTCACTGACAGAAGATCTTCGAGGCCCTCCTCTTCATGATTTGTTGAATGATTGCACACTCTTTTGAATAATCGAAATACCGTCGTCAGTCGTTCCTGTTTGAATGTAGTATAGATGCGAACATAATGATGTGATGTATTGGTAACAAATACGAGCAAGTGATGTTGACCGCACCGCTAAGGTAAGAATAAGAAAACTCGAAACTGGAAACAATATTGCGATAGTAAAACAATAACAGGAGACTTATAATTCAAAACATAACCTTTCCATACTCTAACATAATTTGACAAACACAAAGACCGACGCCCCTAATCCAAGCGAGAGCATCGAGTCATGAAGTGCTCTGTCGTTCCCAAAACCGAAGCGCCAAAAAAAAATCTCAATAATAGCAAACAAACCCAAAATTGACACACACGTATCCTGTGAAGGAGATTGTAATTTCAACGCCATAGTTCCTTACAATTTGTTTGCAAAGCACACGCCCCTGTAAGACGGTGACTTTGAATATGTGCTACTCGGGGGCGGAGCAGCTGGGAGATGCTTCGTGTCCCGATTGAAGTAAATGGGCCCTGTGGGATCATCACATGGCCTGTATTCAATCCCAAGCCTGGCCGGTATGCAGGACTGTTTTTTAAGATTGTGACCCAACGGCTTGCAAGTTTTCTCTATCCGCTTCTGGCGGATCCCGTCGGACTCTGTCGCGTCATGTTTGCGGCATCATCTGCCCGCTCGCGAATGACCTTCCATTTGATGGCAGGCCCCTGCATATCATCCCATAGGTCTGTGGGTAGATACTCGCCAACGTCGGTGTAGAATGTGTCGCGAGCGGATTGGTCGGCATCCATGATCTTGTTGACGTTTTCTTGGGCTTTGCGCCAGATCGCCTCCACCCGTTCGTTGACATTGCGACGACGCTCGACCTCAAGAACGAGGCCATCATACGCACCAGAGTAGCGCCCATAGAACTCTTTCAGTTCGTGCATCTCTTTGAGGTGCGAGAAGACAACCTCCTTCTCCATTTCCCACCTTTGTTTGAAATCCTCTTCGGCCGCAAGGTAGTCGGTCAGGCGCTCGCCAATCTCGCCGAGGGCGATGTACGCCTGCATCATGCCTTCGTATGCCTTTTTCGTTTGGGCGACCTGCTCCTGAAAGTCGCCGTATTCTTGCTCCATCATCCTCAGGCCTTCGTGTATCTCGCCGACAACGTCGTCAACCTCGCCAGCATCTTGCACAACGACCTTGAGCATCTCAGCACGATCGCGGGCGGTCTTTGGCTCGAGGTCGGAAACGTTGGATTCCTGCTCAGCAATCACGCCGGAGATGGAAACGCCATCTGGGCCTTGGGGCTGTGTCGTCTCGGCGGCTTTCCGGCGGGCCAGAGCCGCTGCGCCCTCGGTCGTCCTGATGGCGGTGACACACAGGTCGAAGTGGTTCGTCAAAGAAGCCAAGTTTGACGCCATGTGCGCCGAGTACGAGACGAGATTGTCTAATCGCTCCGTCATCGGAACCTGAGGCTTGTTGGAGGAGTCGGTGCCCGACGGCGAGATCGAAGCTTCGGAAATGATGGTCTTGAGGTTGCGAATATCGGTATCGAGGCGTAGTAGGTCTCCGTCAAAGGATTGTTGGACGCCCTGCATTGATGGCAGGCGGTCAGTATTCTGATGGGGCATCTGTGAATGGATAGCTGTTGCAAACTCACCTGCAGCTCCTCAATGCTCTTCTTCATGGCATCTCGCAGCTTGTGTACACTTTCTTCGTCGACGAAATCCAGTAGGGTCTTTGGCTCTTCACCTGACGGCCTGAGGGAGCTCTGCACCTTCTTGGCCCTGAGCACACTCATCATGGCACCCAGAGAGCCGTCCACCTCATCCATGGTATGAATCAGGGATTTGAAGTCGTTGGTGCCCCAGTTGTACGTCGCCTGGAGGCTGCGCCTCAGCCTGGCGAGAATGGCCGTCTGGTCGAGGATGGAGCGGCGCAAGAAGCGCGACTGGGCGGCGAGGATGGCGGCATCCTCGTGCTCATTGCGTGCGTTGGTGGCCAGTTCATTGGCGCGGAACACGACGCTAATGGTCGAGAGGGAACGTTTCGCAGCGAGCAGGTGGTTGACGAGGGTGTCGACGGGGATGGTGTCGGAGAAGGAGGATGACGATTGACGGTGACGGCTGTCGTTGGAGCGTTTGAGGGAGGCGGCCGATGACGCAGCGCTGCGCCGTGATGATGCTGCGGGAGAGGTAGCCATGATGGGAAGGGCAGAGGGATTGGGATTGGGTGTCTCAGTCAGGCAGTGCGATAAGGTCGTGGATATGGATAGATGGATAGATTGGGATATGGATATAATGGAGGGAGACAGGACCGGCAGTGGAACTACATGGTGATCAAACCGTTGCTCGAGCCAAGGGGGAATGGAAGGATGGTAGGACAATGTGCAGGAAAGTTTGAAGCAACGACAAGGCGAGGCGGCAATGGCACTTAATCATGCACGCCGATGATGGGCGATAAGATACGGCGTCGCAGTTCCAGCTTAAGCTGCTGCCGCGTTGAGGTCATGCGCCGCTAAAGCAGGTCAGGTCCCCACCCAGCACACCAGAACACCTTCTGGATCATCTTGATATCACTGCCTAACTAAGAATGGATCAGGAGTATGGTGCGTGCGGTGCTAACTGATGCGAGACCGGCAGACGCATTGCGCAAGGGGCTGCCATTGATGGCATGAATCCGTCCCGTCGCCCTTGAGCCGACCATCACTGCCTGCTGGGCTATGTCATCACAGTCAGCCTCATTGCAACACCACCCCTGGTCAGCACAAAACCAAGGTCCAACACCCAGCAAGGTCCGTGCTAATGGGTCGCAAATCCCACCTCCACCGAGCCAGAGGCCGTGAGTCACTCATTGGCCATGCAACGCGCCGTCGCACGCAAGGCAGGCTGCCGGATAAGCTGCATATGGAAAATGTAGGGATGGGCAACTTGGTGTCCATCACTCTCTCGCCAACCGTCGCGTCACATGGGGAGGTTTCAGGTAGGCGATCAAAGAAGGTATGATCCAAACACTGCCAATCTATTTCGATCTCGCATAGAATGCAACTATATAAGTTTGAGCTTCACAATCTATCTCATCAATGCAGAACAATTCGTAGCTGGTAAAAGAACGAACGAGAAGAGACGGCCATAAAACATAAAAACCACAAAGATGTATAATCTTGGAACCCCACTAAATCAATCAAAGCTCGCTGTCCGCCATGTTGCAAATCTACTCTCTGTATCATCATCAACTCTATCTGTATCCGCATCGGAAATCAATCTGATTGTCTATAATCGCTTCGTCTCTCCCTCTAGCGGAGTTGCAGCGCCTGGAGTGTTGACCATTGACGAGCTCCCAGAATCAATGCGCAAATACTCGCGCATCATCGCGCTCATATCTCCAGGGGTGAGCAGACCTCCGTCACGTCGAATGACAGAGGGATATGAGCTAGGTCCTTCCTTGTCCTCGAGGCGAGAACCGCCAGCATTGGCCTGGGCGTTGTCAAGGTCAGCGGCGCCCTTCTCGCCCATACCACCTTCGAGCAATTCACCTCCCTCAATGACAGTGCGAAGCTCGAGGTTGGCGTCCTTGGAGTACACTCGGATGCCAACGATGCAAACCGCGTTCCATGGATCTGGCATTTTCTCTTCTTCGGTATCGTAGTCATCTCGAGGCTGAGGAGGCTGCTGAGGTGCAATGCGTGGCTTACGCACCATATCATCGCTGCTGTATATTTCATCCCAATCTTCAACAGGTGAGTCAGAAGAATCACCGTCTGAATCGTACTTGAGGAGAGGTTTCTGGGGCTTTTGAACCTTCTCCTCCTGAGGTTGTGGCTGTGGGGTTGGGTTGACGGGGGGAGGGCTGCCATCAACCGGAGGTACTTCTTGCTTCTTGTCAGAGGCGACGATAACAATTGTTGAGTCCTCTGACTTGGGGGTGAACTGAGGCGAGCCGGTAGACTCGGATCCCTGTCCTTGACCTGACTTGTCATCGACCTTCTCGTCGGACTTGGCATCAGGTTCTTCCTTGTTAGAAGCATCTTCCTCCTTTGGCTTTACTTCTGCCTTTTCCTCCTCCGCAGCCTTGGCAGCAGCAGCGTCGGCAGCGGCAGCAGCTTCTTCTGCCTCTGCTTTCTTGCGCTGCTCGTCGTTCCAGTCATCGCGGCGCTTTTGCTTCTTGTCCTTGTTCTTTTCGCCCTGCTTTCGGGACGCCTCTCGGTTGAGATGACGCTTCTCCCAAGCGCGGCGCCGCTCCTTTTGCCTGTGACTTGAAGCCTTGTTCTGCTCGGTCCTCTTGCGGACTTTGGCAACCTTGTTGATGTGGTCCCAAGCCTTGCTGTGGGCCAAGTCGTACGCGTGGCCAACTTGCGCGAGCTTCTCATTCTCAACACGACCCTTGAGCTCTTGTTTGACGACCTCTTCAACAGACTGAAGCTTAGAGTTGCGCTCGCCGACGACCTTGACATACACGGAATAGTTTCCGGCAGGCATGTCCGGGAGCTCAACTGAGACGGACCGGTACGTCAGGAAATTTCCATGCGACCGAACAATGTAGTCTTCCGCATCTGGGCTGTCCTGATTGTGGAGGCGGAAGTGAAGGCGGAAAGAGTACTGTCCAGAGAGCCCCTTGAAATACTTGCGATCAAGTTGGCTCAGTGTAAGGATGAGGGGCGAGTCCTCAGTGAGCTTGATTTGGAACTTCTCATGATAGTCAGGCTTCCACGGCACATCGGCGCCGATCCAGCGCTGGCAGCAGCGCCAGTCTGTATCACGGAACAGCCTGGTGCGCTCAATCAGACTGTACTTTTGAATCATGTCCTCAAAAGAAATCCAAAAGACGGAATCGCTACCGAACTTGTGTCCAAGCTCTTCCTGAACTTCGGTGGTCCACTCCTTGGAGCCGTCGCTCCATGGGCCTTCCCAAAGACCCTCACGGATCTTCCCCCAGGGGTTTCGGAGCTTCACAAGACGCTGACCGGACTTGAGGGTGCGCGCATCCATGACCACGTAAGCATGGGCTTCCGAGATGCCGTTGCGTTCACCGTACCCGTGCTCCATAACACCGGTGGAACAACCGAAGAGGAATTCTTGGTTCACCTTGAGCATTTCATTCTCCCAGAACTCATCGAGGTCGAGGATGTCGGAGGTGAAGAGCTCAGTCGTAACACCGCCAGACAGGTCCTCGAGGCCCTCACCAATCCAGCCGCCAGACAGAGATGCATAGTCTCCATGGGCTTTGGCATAAGCCTTCTCAATCAGAGGGACCCAGGTCTCATTCTGGTCGACGTTCTGGGCGAAGAAAAGGGCCTTGGAGCCCGTCTGGTAGGTTTTACGGTAGTGCTTCTCTACATCCTCGCGATCAATCTGCTCCAAAAGGTCTCGCTGTTTGCTTGGCAGGTCCCAAGAGGGAGACTTTAGGTACAGCTTGTCGTCGATAATGGAGTAGATCCATTCGCCGTCCCTGTAGAAAACGAATCCATAGATACCGATTTCTGGATATTGATTAGCCAGGTTCTGATGGTGAAGAGACTTGAGGATACCCACTTGTGTTATGAGCCACACAGAGACGCTTGATGCCATCCTCTACGTTAGCAAGCGCAGTCAACCCGGCCATGAACCAGCAGTCGCCGAGGCTGCCTTGCTTAACATCGTTGGCAATGAGTGAATTCATGAAGGTTGGCTTCTCATATACTTCATGTACACGCTTGACTGCTTTGGGAACCGAGGCGCTCGAGTTTAGTAGCGTGGAACGGCTGATCTCGTACTTAGTCTGGCCCAAGCTATTGAGACAGTGGCCTTTCTCGTACTTGAAGTCCCAGTCCTGGAATTTTGTCAGCAAGTAGCGCGAATGGGTTGGGGCGGGTGATAAAGCTCACCAAGTCAAAGCCGGGATCCCGGTAGCGCATATTCACACGTTTGCACTCCTTCACAATTTTCTCGACCTTGCGACGGCATTCTTCTGCTGCGCGATTGTAGCCATCCCAGAGCAGCTCGTTGGGACGATCTGGGGAAGCGGGGGGCTGGACCGGATCAAAGGGAAGGACGGCCAAGGCTTTGGTGAATTTGCGATTCGAGAACTTCTTCCAGATGCGATTGATTGAAGGCTGAGGCGGGACTCTTCTCTTTCTCTTCTTTTTCTGGTCCTGGTTGTTGTTTGAGGCTGGCTGGGCACGAGGTCTGCGCGGGTCCTCAGACTCCTCTGACGAACTATAGCCGTGCATGATTGTCGGGTGTGGGTGTTAAGGAGGGAAGAGGGAACCAAGCTGAAACAGAAATAAAAACGAACGGAGGGCAGGTAGAAAGAATGACTATTGTCCTCAAGGTAGCAAGCTCAACAGAAACTTGCTTGGAAAAAATAGGGTATTAGGGAAAGTTGAGGAACACAACGAGACGTTGGGAGGCTGGGCGACGTTGCAATTTAAGTCAACGACGGAGACAGCTAAAACGCCGTCAACTATGCCAATGGAATAAATTCGGGATATGAGGGGGACTAGAACTTTCGGAAGAAAATTCGAAAGGGGCGAAAAGTTTAATCTCTGGCGAGGTCGGAGGAGGACGGTATATATGGGTGAGTAGGAGGGTGATCGTCGTGTGCCCCGACTCAGGGTCCAGCGCTATCTCTCGGATGGAGGGTACCCGACTTAGAATTGGAGGGCACACCGATATGCGAACCACCAGCCAACCAGCGCTCACCGTATATCTGGATGAACACACTATTCCGTGGCCCCTTTCCTCCACCCAATGTACATGTACGGATAGGCAGGAGGTAGATAAGACGGATCCCACCTAAGCCACCACCATGATGTCGCCTCGCCTCACCTCAACAAGTACCGCGTACACCGACTGTTGCTTGCATAAGAAGGTACCGCAGATTCGTACAGTGCGATAGACTTGCCATAGCCATTGTTGGAATGTTGGATCCTCACCCCCTGTCCTTTCTGGGCAAAGCGGTTCGCCCAAAAAGGCGGGGGCCGGGGAGACCCTGAAAGAATGAATAGATAGCGGCTTTGGAGACTGGCGCCAAGGGACGATAGAATGGATGGTAGGATGGGCGCCTGGCTAAGCATGAGAGCAACCAAGTGGCGAGCAGCTTGACCATGCCACAACACAAAGAATGGTTCGCTCTTTGTAGGTCGTGTAAGCTGTTTGCCGCCTTTTTTCGATTTCCAATCCCAGCAAAACGGGCTCTGTGGAGAAAATCGGAGGACAAAGACATGGCTGGACAAGGGTGTCTTGTGCCGCGCCAAGTACTGTACTTGCAGGCGGGGCCCTCCAGACCAGGGTCTCGAGCGACCTCCTCGAGCAGTCTCTGGATATGCCACTTGTCTCTCGAGTCGCTGCTGTTTCCTCCTTCCATCCGATCAAGGGAGCGGGTGATTGGCGTTTGGGAGGTCAGACAGACGACAATCCATTCCCACTTATCGGCTCTCCTGTTTCAATTGGATAAGGTGTTCCAGGAAGGCGATTGGGCGATCCCGGAGAGGAGCACACTGTATACCTCGACATGACTGCATATCTGTAAGGCGAGTCCGGTGCTACAGTGCCAGCGTCGACATGCTGTGTTCAATGCTAGTCACGCCTCGATTCTGGAGACCTGGACCCAACAAGTGGCCCAGGAAGTGGTCCCAACCCCAAGAAGACCCTGAAAGCCTCGTTGCAATGGTGGATTCGCGATGGCGACTTGGGCGAGTAGGACAAGAAGTGGAGATGAAAACTGGATCTCGACCCTCAGTTTTTAGGGGTCCAAGCCAACTACCTAAACTAGGCCGTTGGTGCAACGGCAATGGATGGGTCGGGCTGATGGCTGGTTGGTCCCTGGCTGTGCCGGTGGGAGGACTTGCTTTTGGCCCTGCGACTGGTCAATCAGAAGCTGCCGGAAGTCCGGCGACAGGAACATTGCTAAGATGCCCCGACCTTGCGAGAGAAGGGGACCAACCCACATGACTGCCCACGGGCCTGTGAGGCGAACATTGCCTGCGGCAAGGCTGCTGGACCGCCTCTCTAGGCACCAGGGGCTGATCTGTCAGAGAACAATCGAGTCGAGGGGCCTGGCTGTGATTTCCTTGGTACTTACCTACATAGTTCCTTGGCAGGAGAAGTGGGCAGGGATCAATCAATGAATGGAACGGAGCGGCCTCCCTCCCTTCCAGTTGGTTGGGGTTTCGGGCGTCGCACATGCAGCATGTCCAACAAAGGGAGAGAAGTGTGCCGTGGGGAAAGGACAAAGGCGATCTCGGCCAGGGGACCAGCCCTGCTTTGCGCAATTGCTCAGTCATCGTGACTGCCTCAGCCGACCGGGGCTTCCTTCCTCCACCGTACCCGCCCCCGGAATAGCGCAACCGTCCAGTGGATTAGCGCAGTCTAGGCGCGTCCTACAGTGCATAACGGCGACATCGCACTCGCCCACCCACTTGAGTCACCTTCAGCGCCTGCACCCACCCACACCAAGCTGATGTTGGCGCTTCCTTTGGGCTGGGTTTGATTTCGTCTCCTGCAGCACGGCGCAACTGTAGGCGAGATTATCACGTCCCTCAGCAAATCAGCCTTCTCTTCACCCAACCTTCGCATGCATCTACCTGCATGGAGCGAATCTATCACCTGTCGTGGCATGGGCTAGTTTTCTCATGAGGGAATCAAAAGCCCTACCCATGCAATGCACACTCGTATCATGCACACCTAAAGTTAGCGGCCCTTCCACAGCTCAAATTTCGTGGACAAGCGATGTCAGATCTCAATTTCAAGCAAGAACGAGGTTGGGCAATGATACAAATCCAAAAACGGCAAGACATGCCTCGGACTTGAGCGCTGTTTCAGATGAGTTCTTGCCAAGAGAAGATCTGTGCCGTACCGGACGAGACATGTTGGGATCAAGTCTGGCCACGGAAGTCTTGTCTTGCTGGAGAATTGGTCAATGGCAATGGCATGTTGACCAACGTGATTTTGCCAATGCCAATTGAAAGCAGTACAAAAACACTGATGGATGAATTGATCTTGGAGCGTGGAGTCTTCCTCTGCGCTCTGGTGGAAAACAGTTGTCAATGTGCTTGGTTTAGTACTGGGGGCAATTTCCCTCTTACTACTTGAGAAGAATGAGCGAAGGCTTTCGTGATCAACTTCGGTTGTGATATTGCGGCAAGTGTACTCGTAGGTTGGTTACCGGTGGATGATGCCAAACTCAACTTATGTTCGCCTCTGAGCGATGGCCGCAGCTGGCTAATAGGCGCTCTCTTTGATGCTCGGGGGAAGGCACCATCTGTCTGTGCCAACAATGTCGATTGTTATTGTGTTGAAACGAACCGTCATTGTTGTTTTCTTCAGATCATCCTCTCATTGTTACTGCAGCTTCACACTGTTCTTCAGCACTTATCTGAGCATTCATTCATTCATTCACAGACATAAGCGCTTGAGAGATGGAGGAGACAGCCTGGCAGCAAGTGCTCCGAATCCAACTCTACGCTATTGCTATCGCCATCTGGACCGCCGGCCGGCTGGGACTCAATCCCTTCTATCTCTCCCTGGTTTATTGTGTCGTGGCTGCCATTGTCACTATCGGCGTTGCCCTCATCCAAAGGGAGATTGCAGACAAAGAGAAGGGCAGCCCACTCGAGTGGTAAGAATGATACCAAGGAAGACCTGCAAAACTCATCTTAAACAACTGTGGTCATTTGTCAAGCGAGGCTTTCGGCATGGGGAGGACCAGGAGAGCGGGAACAGACAAGCTGCCCCTGAGAACCAACCGGCGACCAGCTCCGATGATGAACCTCCCAAGCCGCCATCTCAGAGGTCTCAAAACCCTGCCGTGCGCGCTCCTCCTCAGCGTGGCTCTCGGGATGGGGAGGACCAGGGGAGCGGGAACAGACAAGCTGCCCCTGAGAACCAACCAGCAACCAGCTCCAATGATGGACCTCCCAAGCCGCCACCTCAGAGGTCCCAAAACGCTGGCGTGCGCGCTTCTCCTCAGCGTGGTCGTTCAAATGAGAATCTCAGCACTGGATCGGGACCCTCAATCAATGCGAGCACCGGCCTTGATAAGGGGAAGGGCGTCGCCGTCCATGCTGAAGACGATGAGGACATTCCGCTCGCGAGACTCCTTTCCCCTCGTTCAAGCCTAGCGAGAGAGAGATCCAATCAATCAAGCCCAGGACCATCTTCCGCTGCCCCAGCACGCGAGGGTTCAATTTCGCCCTTACCTGCGAGGTATCGACGCAACAATACAGTCAGACCAAGGCAAGGTCTCGGTCAAGGTTCTCTTTCACTACAGCAATTTCCTGGCAATGCAAATGCGGGGAGGGCCCAAGGTGGATTTGACCGACTTGCGTATCTGCCGCCGACACAGCCTCAAGGGATACCCAGGTTTTGTCAACTTCCCCGTGGGAGTAGCTCAGCCGCTCGTAGGGCCAGAGCACGCACTACGGATATGGGCTCATGGGGATTCTCCATGATTGTGGAAGAAAGAGTTCAAGGAGGAAGCCAAGCCACAGCGCAGCCGAGTATGCCAGCAACAGCAGGACGGTCGCCTACAACAAGAAGAAAACCCATAGTTCCTCGCAGACAATTAACTCCTTCACAGCGGTCCTGGGCACGGAAGAAATCTAACCCACCGCAAGGGGCGTGGCTTTGCGGTCGGTGCGCATGGGAGTACCAGAACAATTCTGGTGACCAGGCACGGGCCGTATGGCTTCACCTGGGGATTTGGCCTCCCTTTGCGAGGAACTGGCGTCAGAGAATTCGACCCCAGCAGTGCGGCGGATGCTCAAGAGTACTATACTGTACGCTGTTCGACTACAGTGACCCGAGGAATTGGCCGTGATTTGCCTCTTTGGGGGACATCTTGGAAAGGATGAACTGGGCGAGGTCAGCGTTGGTATTCATGTTCGTTGAAGAATCAACTTGGGCGTACTTTTACTGGGTGTGATGTACTATTCTTTGATAGTCAAGCGTTATTTTTGATCATTGTGTATTTTTTCGACTACCGAGCACCCTTGGCCAAACAAAGTCTATTTGAACACAACCAAATTAAACTTCTCGTCACTAACAGCAAGCTTACTTTCTGAAATTCGTCTTGCCCTCGCCAGGAAGCTGGACGTGCAGAAAGCTAACACCCAGCTGAACAGCTACGGTCTTGCCATGCTCGGTGGATGAGTGATCTCATAAGAACGTGTTTATTTTGTCATGATGCTAATTGATTCATTTACAAGAAAATGCAGACTTAACCCTCGAAGGGTGTCTCAAATGGCCGCTCAGCCTGGGGCGTGATACGGGCGAGATGTCGGCGCTGACCGGACTTCCAGTCAACGAGAGCTGTGTGCTGGGTCAGACGGTTATCCCACACGACAACGGTCGACTCCTCCCACTTGACGCGAGCCTGGAAGTCTGCGCCCCATGCAATGTGCTCGTATAGGAAGTTCAGGATGGCGTCTGATTCTTCCTTCTTAAGGCCGACGATGTCGCGAGTGACTAAAGAGAGGTTAGTACTGGATTAGGGATGATATGGAAGAAGGCTGTCTTCTAAAATAGGGGACTTACACTGGGGGTTGATGTACAGTGCCTTGGCGCCTGTGACGGGGTGTGTTCGCACGATGGGGTGCTCGTTGACGACGGGCTCGCGGCGCTTGATGCTGCCCTTCCTTACGCTGGCGTTGACCTGCTCGATGCCCGAGTGCCTTGCCTTGAGGCCGTGGAGGAGCTTCTGGAAGGCCGGGGACAGGCGGTTGTAGGCCTCGGCGGCGTCGGCGAAGAGGGTGTCGCCGCCCGTCTCGGGGATGTCGAGGTTGTAGAGGAAGGTGGTGCCCGGGGGCTGCTGCTCGTAGGAGACGTCCGAGTGCCAGGCGACGGAGCTGACGCGGTTCTTGAAGAAGGTCTCGTGGGACTTGTCGCCGGCGGCGCGGTGGACCAGGTGAACCTCCGGGTGGCCGGCGGGGGAGCCGGATGTGGGGTGGATGTGGTGGCGGCCGAAGTAGCCGCCGAAGGCGAGGGCCTCGCTGATGGGCAGGTCGGCGAAGTCCTGCTTGCGGAAGGCGACGACCTTGCGCTCGGCGACGAAGCGGGCGAGCTCGTTCTTGCCGGCCTCGGAGAGCTTGCTCAGCTGGATGCCGTCGACCTCGGTGCCAATGGTGGGCGTGAGGTGCGTTACCTTGGCGGAGGAGGGGAGGAGGTTGGGGAAGGCTGGGTCGGCATCCTTGCCGTGGTCGTAGTGCTCGAAGGGCTCGAGGGCAGGGTAGACTTGGTCCTTGTTCCAGGTGGGAAGATAGTTGGGATACTATAGGCATGGGAAGAACTCGATATCAGCAGATATTCTTATGGTGTTATCTAATAGCTTTCCACATTTGGGAACTACCTTTGCAGCCTTGTGCTCGTCGGAGCCCTTCTCCTCAACGTCCTTGGAGAAGGCGACAGGGGAGAGTTCCTTGTAGGCATGCTCGACGCCACCGGCGTACAGCTTGAGCTTGCTGGCGTCGGCCGCCAATTGGTTGACCGTCTCGGTTGCTGAAGGCGCCATTCTGATACTGTGAACTGATATTTGGGTATATCTTTTTCTTATCAGGCAACGGTATGTATCGTAGTCTGTATACGGACTAGACTTCTAGGACTCTATGTCTCACTCCAAGCCACATGGCCGTTTATTTATATTATTCGTCCTCCATGCTCACATGGTGGAATCTACGATCTGGAGCACGCCCATTGCCCCGATTCCGGAGAGCGGGGATGGGTGAGACGTTGCAGTCTTGGTAATCAATTGGAGCAGCATTCTGCTTCTTCCTCGCCCTCGACGAAGATGATTGCTCGGTGTTATGCATTACGCAACTATGGCGGGCATTGCGTAGATGGCACAAGCAATAGGGAGTTGTGCTCGGCTGGAAGTGAGATCACGCAATGGGAGAGAAGTTGGCGTGACGGGACCAAGTGTCAATAACCAACTTATCGAGCTTCATTCCGTCCCGCAAATCGATTGCGCCATCGCCCGAATCGTACCAAGAAGCCCGACAATCAGCGCCGTCATCGAGATGATTGGGCCCATGGCGGTGTCGCAATACCATGGGCCACTTGACGCCATCGCCAATGGCACTATAGCTCTCGCGATATGTGTCATGCTGCAGAGCGCTAGAAACCAGTTCCAAGACTCCCAGACTCCTCGGTAGGGTCGGTTAGACAACTCTACGGTTACTCGAGACGACCGTGACATTCTGGGTCCACCCTCGAAACTCGAATTCATTAAAGCTTCACCAAATGAGCTAGTTGGTGATAAGCTCATGGAGTCCCGGTAGCCGCGAGTTGAAGCCACTGTCGTGATCTTCGCTCCCCTTCCAAGCCTCAGTTTGGCTTTTAGCTCTCATCCCAAGCCAAACTAGGGAGCTTTCCCGGAGTTCTCGAACGGCTCCGCGGCCTCCCTTGCTCCATTGGCACCCTCCAGTAAATGTAACTACTCTGAATTAAGCTTCTTGCGTGGTTATCAGATGGTTGTAATTGGCCCGTGGGAGGTCTGTAGAGGAGGCCTGCCGTCCATCTTGAAGACTGGGATGGCTAGATAGTTGAAAGACCCCCGGCTCCATCAGGTTACTTCTGCGTCTCTTCTTGGCAGTAATGGCATCATGGGCGCTGGGGAAAGCTCGAGGCCACGTTTTGAGGTGATTCTCCGGTTGCATCGCGACATTTCTCGGAATTTTCTGCCCAGAGAGGGCCCCTTGGGAGGTGACATACTGGGGGATGGGATGGGGGCGCGCGGCGGGATGGTGCGTCTCTTTTTATACCCCTTCATGCACCTCGAACTTTGTTTTCCCTTTTCCCAGACAATTCGACATCTCCGCGGAGCTCGACCAAATCGCTGGGAACCCTGTTGCTGTTTGGGAGTAGTGCCCTCGCTGCGTGCCGAGATAGTTTCGTTTGCAGCATCTCCGCGGGAGCTATTATACCCTACCTTGCCCGCTTTTGTCCTCCAGACATGGGTTTCTTCGCAGCCAGTAACGGCGAGCTAAAGCAGCCCGTCGTTACCAATGCCTCTGACAGCGGCAATGAATCCTCCGGGTCTGATGACCACATCTTCTCTGATCCTTCCGTAGCCGATCACTGGCGCAAGGTCTACGAGAAGGCCAACTATGAGAACCGTCACCGGTTTGATCCCAACTACAAGTGGGAGCCCGAGGAGGAGAAGAGGCTTGTGAGGAAGGTATGTATTTGGTTTTCTTACATATTTCTGTATGGAAAGCAAGCCAACTGACATGAACGCAGATTGATCTTCGAATCACCCTCTGGGCATGGATCATGTTCCTGTCTCTGGACTTCCACCGCCGTAACATCAATCGCGCTATTTCGGACAATATGGTGAGTAGCCTACACGGCACCCACACCTACCACACTTCTTATGACACATAGATATCTAACTAGCACGATGACAGCTGCCAGAAATAGGCATGAACACCAATGACTTCAACTACGGCCAAACGGTTAGTCTCATTTCTGCCACCCGAGCGTGCCTCGAACATGTGCTCACTGTGGGCCCTTAGATCTTCCTTGTGTGCTTTCTCTCGGCCGAATTGCCCAGTGGTCTCATCAGCAAGAAACTGGGCGCTGATCGATGGATCCCGTTCATCATCTGCGCGTGGTCGCTCCTCGCTGGAAGCCAGGCCGCTCTCCACAGCAGAAGCGCCTACTTTGCCATCAAGGCCTTTCTAGGTCTTTTCATGGGTGGATTCATTCCGTAAGTGCCAAGAAGGAACCTGAGAAACAAAGATCAGCGTGTAGATCACGATATCTAACCTGAGGAAACAGCGATATTGTGCTATGGCTCACCTACTTCTACAAGTCAGGAGAGCTGCCTATCCGTCTGGCCTTTTTCTGGACTGCTCTGAGCACTAGTAACATTGTCGGATCTCTCCTGGCTTCCGGCATTCTGCAGATGCGTGGTGTTTTGGGATGGGGAGGATGGCGATGGCTGTAAGTGGATCCAGGACAATATTTCCACAGAAACAAATATCCAATCTCATCGCAGAGATAATAGTTTGCTGACAATAAATCTAGGTTCCTTCTTGAGGGCATCCTGACTTTCATCATCGGTCTTTTCTCCTGGGTTCTCATGCCTCCCGGCCCATGCCAGACCAAGAGCTGGTTCCGTGGCAAGGATGGCTGGTTCAACGAGCACGAGGAGTACATCATGGTGAACCGACTGCTGCGAGATGATCCCAGCAAGGGCGACATGAACAACCGACAGGCCGTCAACCTGGCCAAGCTCTGGCGTGCTGTGAGCGATTGGGAGCAATGGCCGTTGTACCTTATCGGTCTCATGGTCTACATCCCCCCCTCGCCCTTCAACACCTACCTCTCGTACATTCTCAGGGAGATTGGCTTCTCGGTTTTCCACGCCAACCTTCTCGCCATCCCATCTCAGTTCCTGTACGCCGTCAACCTGCTTATCATCACGTGGGTGTCTGAGCGGGTAAAGGAGCGTTCCATTCTGTCGTCTATTTCCAATATCTGGATCTTCCCATGGCTTCTGGCTCTCGTTGTCCTGCCTGCAACGATCTCTCCATGGGTCCGATACGCCCTCATCACCGGTCTCCTGAGCTACCCGTACTGCCACGCCATCCTCGTCGGCTGGAATGCCAAGAACAGCAACAGCGTGCGTACACGAGCCATCAGTGCGGCCCTGTACAATATGTTCGTCCAGGCTGGCAACATTGCCGCGTCCAACATCTACCGCGAGGAGGACAAGCCTCTGTACCGACGTGGAAACAAGATCTTGATCGGTATCACCTCTGCCAACATCTTGCTATTCTACTTCGTCAAGGCTTTCTACGTCTGGAGGAACAAGGTCCGCGACCGCAAGTGGAATGCGCTCACCAAGGAGCAGCAGGAGGATTACACCCTCAACACGACGGACGAGGGTCAGCAGAGGCTGGACTTCCGATTTGCACACTAGGCCCCTTGGGTGGATGTGGAGGATTTTGCTAGGTTTAGACGTTAATGATCGCGGATCGACTTGGCGCACGAACAATGTGATGAGGGAGCAGAGGGAGAAGGGGCGAAGGGGGTGTAAGGAAGGGTTAGAGGGCAGGGCTATGGGCGTTCGTGTGCGAGAAATGACGAATATGATAATATTGCCAGCACCATTGCATTTAATCACTACCTACTGCTACCGCTCCATGCCCCCCCATTAAGATAGAGAATAGACAAAATAGAATCAACCAAGAAGAGGTGAAGATGAAGTTGGACCTACTATATCAGCCTCCTCGGCAGATGCGGCAGCTGCATTAATGACACGGGTATTCTCCCTCCTCTCCACGCTTCGTCTCCACGGCTTGTAGAGAAGGATGGAGCCAACACCGACGACGAGGAACACACCACAAATAGACCCGCCAATGATGTCAAAATTGTCGCCGATAGCTTCAACGCCGTCCCAGAACGGGCCCTCTGGCTCTGCAACGTTCTGGATAAGGGCCAGGGCCTGGACGGTACCGATGAATGCAGACACCAAGACGGTGATGCCGGTGAGGATGATGGAGTAGTACAGGATGGCGACTGTGTCGCGGGAAAAAGCTTTTGATGTGTAGAGGGCGAGCATGAGGGCTCCATCGGTGGTGTCAAGGAGACACATGCCGGCTAACGATCAAATTAGTTAATTATACCAGAATGCAAGGCTAGACGAGGGAGTGCCTACATGTGAACAAAACGGGGAAGATCAGGATCAGCCAGATGCTGGTTCCCTGTACGGCCTGGATACTCGCAATGCCCAGAATAGCGATTTCGGAGGAGGTATCAAAACCTAGGCCGAAGACTACTCCGAGCGGATACATCTTCCACGGCCGGTCAATCGCCTTGAACAGCTTTCCCAGCATCCGGGTAAAGCAGCCTCCTCCCTCTAGAGACATGGCAGCCGTGGCAGCGTTTGGGTCCTCGTACCGGTCGCCATACATGGCACGCTGGGAGAGAGCAGCCCGCAGGCGCTTGATCAAGGTGTAGAGCACCCACCCGTTGGCAATGCACAAAATTATGAGGAACACAGCGCTGACAGAGGTCCCAATGATGTTTCCTACTCTAGTGAAGCCATCGAAGCGCTCTCTGAGGGCGCCACTGGTGGCAGCAACAACGATACAGGTGATGATGACAATTGTGCTGTGGCCCAGACTGAAGAAGGTGCCGACAGTTGCCGGTCTCTGTCCACTGGCGATCAGTCTTCTGGTTGTGAGATCGATAGCCGCGATGTGGTCAGCGTCAAGCGCATGCCGTAGGCCCAGTGTGTAGGAGAGTGCTGCAGACGGGGCGAGACGTGGGTAGAAGTGGAGGATAACTCCGGCAATTGCCCAGACAAGGACATTCACCAAAATGAGGCACGCGATGATGTTGATCGAGTTTGCGGGCAGACCCTTGAGGAAGGCCGGGCGAGGGAGAGCGAAGCGAGCCATGGCTGGTTTTGCGGTGCTTCCGGGGTCTCTAAGGGAGAAAGCTTCCCTCAACAGAGGCTCCAAGCTGGTTTCGACTTGAGCAATATTTCACATGGAAGAAAATCGAGACCCTATTTCTTATCAGTCACGCACAACCCCGCGGCCGAGGTGAAGTGGGTGTCGATAAGCTGCGGGGCAGATGGCGACCATCCTCAATAAAGGAAGCTGCACTGGCGGGCCGAAGGCTGCATCTCTCTCTCTCGTGGCTGCAATGACTCGCTCGGCAGATACGGCACTGAAGATCCCGTGGAGATCTATATAGCATTATTTACGTAAAATATGCGATAACATACCATCCGAAGCCATCCGCGAGTCTGTACATACTACCTGTCGTGATGTGATAAGAGAGGACAAGCGAGGGACCTCATTTTCTTATTGATAATCAAGGTACTAAATGTAGGTAAGAACAAGCCAATGACAAAATATTCTACAATAATTAGCTCGATATTATACGTTTACTATTTAGTTATTTTGATATTGTATTAACTAAAGAAATCATCATCGAACACCATGTAGCCCTAACAATTGTCTTGTAGCTTTCAAACTGCCCTCTAAAGGCATCTACTTCACTGTGTCGTCGCCAACAACGCAGCAGATACCTTCTTCGCCTCTTCATTGAGTGCATCGATTTCAGCCTGCACCAGCGGGATGCCGCTCACTTCCCTCTCTTTCTTTGTTAGCTGCTCAATCTCGCCCGGGAAATAGATCCTCTCTACCCCAGCCGCCTTGTCTGATCCAACTACACGGTCGTACAGGTATTGGATCCGGTCTCTGAACTCATCCAGGCCCATGAACAGATCCGGCTTGATGGCCACAAGAAAGTGCCCAACGTCTGCCGGCTTCGATGGATCGTACGGGCCCGTGACATGACCAGCAAAAGCCGACCCAGAAAGCACACCAGAGAATACATCCATCATGATAGCCAGTGCTGAGCCCTTGGGCCCTCCCATGGGCAGCATCACACCTCCCAGCGCCGCCTCCGGGTCATCGGTTGGCCGGCCTTCGGCGTCCAGCGCCCAGTCCAGAGGAATCTTCTCCCCACGCCTCTTCGCCTTGTAGATCTTCCCACGGGCCGCCACCGAGGGCGCCATGTCCAGGATGAAACTTGTCTCGGGTGTCTTGCCAGGCGCGCCACAAGCAATTGGTGATACACCGATGAGCTTGCTCTTGCCCCCGAATGCGGGGAGAGCAGGGCTTGAGTTGGTGAACACCAGACTCATCATGTCCGCATCAATCGCCTGCTGCACGATCCAAGCGCTCATGCCATAGTGGTTGCTGCCCTTGATGCTGGTCATGCCAATGCCGTAGGTCTTGGCACTCTCGATGGCGGCAGCCATGCCTTTGTACGCCGACACGAAGCCAAACCCGTTTTTCCCGTCAATCTGCGTTACCACGGGCGTCACTTGAGTGACGACTGGCTGAGCGGCGGGGTCAAGGGCTCCTTGACGGATGCGCTGCATGTAAGAGGGGATGCGGTTCATGCCGTGGGTGTCCACGCCACGCAGGTCGGCGGCGATGAGGCACCTGGCGATGATGGCTGCATTCTCGGCCGGCACGCCATTTCCTTTGAGGACATCCTCTACGAAGCGTCTAGCCTCGCTGGGAGCGACAGGGAATTTCTGGGACTCATTCGACGCCATTTTGATGATGGGCGTGGTGTTGATGCGGTTTGTACACTCGGTGACTTGAAGTGATGGCGTGTTACCTTATTCTATAAGGCCAATTGCGCTCTCTTTGATTTATTAATGTTTGCTTTTTTTATATGCTTCAATTCGAGTTTGCATTTATAGATGGAAACCTTTCCAGGCAGTCAAAACCCTCGACGGAAAAGCTCCGATGTGGTATGACGGGATTTCGCCGTGTATGCGGGATTTCCCCGCCCTGCTGCGCGAGAACGATTCACTTCCCCAAGGTTGTTCGAGGCATACTTGGGATTGGAAACGCTTTTGTGATGGCAGGGATAAAACATCCCATGTCTATTCTAGGTTGTAATTCGACGAATATCTCATCTACCCGCTCCGGCCGTGGCAGAGACGACACACACAAACTAGTAGGCTTGGCCAGTGTCCTGTGAATAGTTCCGCGGGCAATGGATGCTGGGATCTTACAAAGGGAGAGCCTCGTCAATTGAAGAGATTCTACACTCGTGGATCTTATTTTCCGGTCTATCAACAGTTTGAAATGTAATCTATACAGAGTGGTACTCAAGCCTCAGCCGAGAAGAGCCATCAATCTTGATCCCCAATTCAGGGCAGGGAGGAAACACGCATTAACTCATAGGGCTATCATCTCTGCCGGGGGAAAGTAACCCGGTCTCAAATTGGCGGAAGCGGAGTGTTGTGACCAAGATTTGATCGAAGAGGCAGAAAAAAATGAGAGGTGAGAAGGGCCGAGGTAAGTTTGCGCATCAAAGATGCCCACTTCCTCAGAGCATCTAGCTATGCACGCGATATGTCCCATCTAGGCTTCTCGCTATAGCATCGAATCTCAAGAATGAGTTGTTGTCTTTGGTCATTTGAGCACACCAAAGCAGGCAGTTCATGAACTCTTAGCGGCGGTCTGCTGCCCCGGCAGCTTGACATATTTCGTATGCTGTCCCAAAGTCACAAGCTTCGCCTCCCCATTCTCCCCAATCTTAAAGATCTTGCAAGTGGTAAACGCCATGTTACCGCCGACCCTCTCTGCCGTAGCCACAATCTCGACAACATCTCCGACGCCGGCCGTGGAGAGATAGCTGATGTGCATGTCCACGCTGGCCCCCGTCTGGCTCCTGAGGTCCCATGAAGCGATGGACAGGCCTGTGGAAAAGTCCACTATGGCTGCGGACACGGCGCCATGCAGGCCCTTTCGGCTGTTGACGTGGGCATCGGTGAGCGTCAGACGGAGAGTCACGACGCCGCGGGAGACGGAGTGCAGAGCCGCGTCCGAGAGGAAAATTTTGTAGATGGTGCTGTTGGCGGTTAGGCGCTGCTTGAGGGCTTCGATGTGGGCGGTGCGCTCCTCTTCCGTTGCCGGGGGCGTTTCAATGCCCATTTTGCCATCAGAAGTCGCCATTGATTCACTTGTCCTCAATTGATGCCGGACTGCTCAAGGCTCGAGGTCTTTGTAGTCTGAGGCAATGAGCAGAAACTTGGAGTGCGGAGGAAACCCGAGCGAGAGGCCCCACCTGGCCATCTTGAGATGATCACTTCCAGTGACTTTTCAACGAAAAGCTGGGCTCAACATCAGAAATGTTCATTCCTGAAACAATGACTTCAGAATTAGCATTTCTAAATCGCTATTTTCGAGGATAAGACTCTTAGTGCTCGCATATTTCAGACGCCAAGTATATCACCACTCGGGTAGCAGGAAGGATTTCGATGATATTTACTGGCCATTTACTCCGTGAATATAAATGATGGTAATATCGGAAAAACATTGGGAAAGCAGTAGGTTCAAAATTCCTGGCAATGAAGATGGTCTTGAATTATGTTCGTCGGCTCAATACAGCAGTGACATTATCCCTTACCCTAAATTCAAGAACTTCATTGAAGGCATCCTCCCCTTCCTTTGAAGTCGCATTCGCGGAGGTTTACTGGAATTGAGAGCTTCTACTATCCATCGCTTGGAACGTTCACGATTAAGAAATTTTGCAGGCCGGAGATCATAAATCATTGTGGAAATTCCGACGAAGTCGAAGAGGTACGTGGCCAAAATTGTGTTCGACAGCCTTAAGAATGAAGGACAATAAGAATAAGAATAATCCCCCAAGAGACTTCAGGCATGTAACCAACCCATGCCCTATACCCAATAACAGGGTTCCAAATGCTGTACACAATTGCTACTACAGGCACAGTTTCTGAGAGATTCTACTAGATGAATGCTCTTGGCATCACCTAGGGTCTCAGCTTGCATTTGGAACTGTACCAGCTGTCCATCGGGGCGCAGATGCAATGTAATAAATATAAACTAATAATCAGCCATATTAAGGAGTGACACTGGGAAGTGTTGTCCCAGACAGAGGGAATCTGTGAATATGTCCTATGAAACCGCCTTAGAGAATGACTACTAGCATTACCCATGTGAAACCAACAACCACTGCAAGAATATTGACCTGTCGGGTGGTCGCTGGGGAAATTGGAACCGAAGATGTGGTTGATGGCTGCTCGTTTTCACCACCTCCATTGCCTGTTGAGGACGGCCTAGAAGAACCGCTCTGGCTCTCACCGCCGCCGCCACCGCCGCCAGTGTGTGAAGGGTTAGAAGATCCTCCGCCCGAGCTTGTAGGGCAGCCCTTGGTGCATGAGGGATGATCTTCACCTCCTGTTGTTTGCGACGCACAGTTTCCGCCTTTGGTACATGAAGGATGATGGCCAGTCTTTGACCCCGAGGGAGTTGATTCGGGCGTCTTAGTTCTACTAGTATCCGTGCCACTGCTACCTGGTCCCTTGGATGTGCTCGTTCCAGATGGCGTTCCGGAAGGCGTGCCAGAGGGCGTGCCAGAGGGTGTACCAGGGTTTGTCGTTGTCGATGTCGATCCAGGTGGGCAAGGGACTGTTGGGCTCTCTTTGACGCAGTCGCAGAGTGCACTAACAGAATTGAGAAGTTCCAGAGCAACAGAAATACCGCATCCCTGGATGACACAATCCTGGGCGGCACTCTGGATCACAGCAGATGATGTACACTGGCATTGGAAGTCCTCGGTGGCGCACTTGGCGTGGGTGACGGCAGCAGAGAATATACAGTCTTCTCCGCAGTCGGGAACAGCATCAGCTCTCTTTTGGCAAGGCGAAGCTGTGACACAAGGCTGGGAGGAGGATGAAGTGATGGTGGATGTATCTGATGGATGCTCTTTAGATGAAGTACTCTGTGGAGGCTTATCAGATGAGCTGCTTCCTGGGCTTGGCTCAGACGTGCTGCCTGGTGGAGGTTCCGAGGAAGAGGAACCTGGAGCTGATGTTGTAGAGACACTATCCGATGTTTGGCTTGGCTCGGCACTGCTACTCTCGGGCGACAGGCTGGTCGAGGTAGGGTCAGGAGTTGCTGTTGCAACACACTCGCAAATAGTGGAACCCGCAGCAAGAGCCTTGTTGATGTCACTGGCGGCACAGCCTCCAAATACGCATGGTAGAGCCTTGCTAATGATGGCAGATGAAGAAGCCGGAGTGCAACGACCTAAGCAGCATCTTGGTCAGTGGTTCAATGGGCATTCACCATTTGGTGGAAACTCACAGGCAACGTCGTCCGATTTCGTGCATCCAATCTCCGAACCTGCAGACAGAATGCAGGTGAACTAACCCAAAGTGAGTTTGACACTCAAGAAAGGACAGTTCTAGCCAAATGATACTTACAGCACAAGACGGGAAGTTGCTGGTCAGAGGAATACAGGCTGATTGGGCGTCCACCAACCCGAACCCAATGAAGAGGCTAACAAAAGCCAATTGGTGTCTCATGGTAAACGAAAGTGGATGTTGCGTTTCTAATTTTCAGCGATTGGGAGTTGAATGATGCTTCAAGGAGGCTACAAAACAATCATCCAAGGTGAGAACGGATGGGATTCTTAAATAGAGAGCACATGGCGGGGATTAAGAGGACCTCGGTTCTATCATACTGAGCCCTCCAGTTGTCTCACAACTTGGGCATGCCCTTGTGAAGAATGGCACCTGGATGCGAGCAATGAAGGTGTGGCTCATCATTGCCTCTGGAAATTGAGTACATCCAGTCGTGGTCGAACACGATGGTAGGCCAACTGAGAAAGACGAAGAAATGTAACGTCGCCAAAGAGGATTATTGTTTCTCTGACACATACCACTACATTAACCCCAGTTCCTGAACTAGGTGAAGGGGGGGCAGCTTCGCGGGGTATTGGTTCAGCCACACGAGGCATTACTAGATGGAGTATTGAGGTGTCAATTCGGCCTCTTACTGGGATGTTCCGTCATTGTCTTCCCTACCATCAACCAGCCCTGTTCTACCTCCTTCCATTTTAGATGCTCTGTACAATGACCGTTCCGTACAGCCGTCAAGCCACTCATATTAGATCCCAGCCCAGTCATTATCCTCCCACAGCTATTGAAGGTTTTTAATGACCAGATGTGGTCCTTATTGGAAGGGAGGATTCGGTTACCGTAGAGAGAGGAGTTCATATGAAATGCAACTTGAACTGAAAAGACAATGAAGATAGAGCTCCCATCAAGACAAAAGCTCGATTCACCGACAAACTGATTTCGTCGCCGCATCAAGGCAGCAATAAGCATGAATACGAGAAAATGCTTTCCTATACTACCTCAAATGACGGTGCCAAGAACTGGAGTAGACGGATAACCAATTAAGTAGAGCAGGGGAAAGGCTTCATCTCGAGACACAAATGCGGGGAAGGCCTCCAATTATGTGATGTGATGAGAGTCACCAGGTTCCCCCCCCCCTCTTCGAGTCAGATCGGTTGTGACGCTCCGTGGGAACCTTGCAGTATGCAACCGCCATATTAGGTCGCTTGCAGTTGTTCCCGGCATCACATGTTGTGTCGCCAGTCTAACATGACTCTACGTCGGCTCAGCCTGAGTTCCGCCAGATCGTCCCAGGAATATGGGGAGGCAGGGACATGGAAGCTGACAGCACACTCGATGACAGCTTTGTTACACCCCAATTCCTAGCCTGTTACTTTCTCAATAGTGTACACATATTATCCCTGGAAAATAGCCGGATTGAAGCAGTGTCCACATGCGCTCTGATCAATACACTCATTGTTGTTGGCTCTTCGTCTATTACTCCACTATCGCCTGCAGAATCATCACTGCGAGAATCACGGCTTGCGTCAACTCAGAAGGAATGATGAAAAAGAGATGGCTGGAAATGGCCCATATGGTGTTATCAAGATCAACAGTACCAGCCGGGAAGTCTCCCGACTAAAAGCCGATGATCGGCCCCGCAACCGGCGCCTTCGATCACCTTCGTCGAGACGGAGCCGAGCCGAAGCCCCTCTATTCATTACTCTTATCTTCCTAAACTCATCCGTCGAGTATAGATCATATTTTTACACAGTTTAATGAAAGGAAATCACAAAATCGTACCCAAAGATCATGTCTTCAAAGCAAACTGTCGCCATTGCCGGCTCGGGCAACATCGCCCAGTATCTCACAGAGGAGTTCCTCGCCGATGGCACCTACCATGTTGCCATCATCTCGAGAACGGATCGTGAGTTCTTCCACAAGCCAGGCGTGACCTTCCACGTTGTCAAGGAGTACTCTACGGCTACGATTGTGCCTATCCTGGACGGCTATGACACAGCCGCTCTCATCTCCACGCTCCAGGGTGCCGACCCCGAGTGGTACACATCCGTGCACGAGGTCCTGCTGGCCTCGTGCGTCGAGTCCAAGAAGTGCAAGCGCTTCATCTCGAGCGAGTACCAGGGCAACCTGAGGCACCAGCCCAACCTGCCGCGCGGCAACCACCGCGCCCGCCAGGCCTTCCGCGCCAAGCTGGCCGCGCAGAAGGAGATCCAGGCCACGCTCGTCTTGCAGGGCTGGCTGGCGGACTACTGGGTCCAGCCGGCTGACGAGTCCAAGAGCTACATCCGCCCTTTCCCCAATGGCTGGCCCATTGACCTGGACCAGAAGACTGTCCGCATCCCCGGGACGGGAGACGAGCCCATCGGCTGGACGGCAACCCGCGACATGGCCAAGGCCGTCGTCAAACTGATCGGCTACGATGGCGACTGGCCTGATCACACATACGTCTTCGGGGAGCTGGGCACCTGGAATGAGGCTATTCCCAAGCTGGAGAAGTTTCTCGGGCGCAAATTGGAGGTATGTACAGCCTAAACGACGTAGCTTGTGAAACGCATCACTGACGATATACAGCGCACCTACCGTCCCAAGGAGGACATTGACGCGGCTCTTGCTCAGACTGAGGACTTTGACCGCTGGTACACTGCTACCATGGACGAGTGGAGCGTTCTGGGGGGCACGGCCGTGCCTCGGGATGAGGCTCTCAAGCTGCGCGAGACGGTTTTCAAGGATGTGCACTTTAGAGATATTGAGGAGGTTTTGGCAGAC